GGGCAGGGTAAGAGCAGCAGAGATGGGAGCGAAGCCCTATTCTTGCAGGAATCTTCCTGCAACAGGCTTCTAGTCTACATTAATAAAAGAAAAATATGTAAATTGACCATACCTCCACGATGACCCACAACCAATTAGGAGGGAATATGCAAAATAGTGCGACAAAGATGGCAGCTTCCACAGATCCATCCAGAGTGGGTTGGAGGCTTAAGTCATCCCCGGTGATGGAGGAAGCCAAGCTTCCTGCCTGCCTTGGCCAGCTGCCGAAGCAGGGACCTGTGGGTGGCGGCCAAGAAGCAGGCGGAGTGAGCAGGAGGCTTGGGTCCCCCCGGTGATGTAGGAAGCTTGGCTTCCTCTGTTGTTGGGGGTGACTCAAGCTTCCCACCTGCCCCGGCTGGCTGCTGACAGAGGAGCCTGTGGATAGTGGCCACAGAGTCGGCCTGAGCACACAGGATGCTTGGGTCACCCAAGCCAGCCGCCCCTAGGCTGGGCATACCATAATCAGGGTGAAGGTCCCCACTGGGGGTTGTGGCCAGCCTGAAAATGGCCCTCAGGCCCTTACCCAGGCTGGCCAGGCCCCCCCCTCAGCAGGGACCCCCATCCTGAAGGGGGTGTGGCCAGCCTGAAAATGGCTCTCAGCCCCTTACCCAGGTTGGCCATGCCCCCATGGGGTGAGGGTCCCCACTGGGGGGTGTGGCCATCCTGAAAACAACCATAAGCCCCTCAACCAGGCTGGCCAGGCAACCCAGCAGGGACCCCCATCCTGAAGGGGGTGTGGCCAGCCTGAAAACAGCCCTCAGCCCCTCACTCAGACTGGCCACACACCCCGAGTGGGGACCATCATCTCATGGGGGCATGGAAGGCCTGCAAACTGCCCTAGCCTCTTGCCCAGTCCAACACCATCCCCAGTAGGGACCGCACCCCAATGGGGGAGTGGCCAGCCTTCAAACCACGATAGGCCCCTTACCCAGGCCACCCCCAAAGGGAACTCCCACCCTGACATGGGACACCCTTCAAGGCAAACCAGCTGGCCCCTACCCGTGCACCAGGCCTCTATCTATACTAATTAAAGGGTAATATGCTAATTAGACTGGAGACCTTCAAGACAGTAGGGACCGCACCCCAATGGGGGAGTGGCCAGCCTTCAAACCACGATAGGCCCCTTACCCAGGCCACCCCCAAAGGGAACCCCCCCCCTGACATGGGACACCCTTCAAGGCAAACCAGCTGGCCCCTACCCGTGCACCAGGCCTCTATCTATACTAATTAAAGGGTAATATGCTAATTAGACTGGAGACCTTCCAGAAGACCTTCCTGATGTTCTTCTGGACAAAACCATGGTGGTGGGGCTTAGGTAAAGGTGGTTAGGGGCCAAGAGGGGAGGGAAGTTGTGGGTGATTAGGCCAGGATGGGATGGCAGTTTGGTGATCAGGGTGGTGGTGGAGGACAGGTGGGGATGAGCAGGCTGGCAGAGGGGGCAATTAGGGGTGATTAGGCTGGAGTAGGGGCAGTTGGGGGCGGATGGCTGGGGGGCACTAGATACTGCAAGCAGGTCTGATGGCAGCTAGATGGCTTGGCTTCCTGGCCCTATGGGGCACATGAAGATTCAATCATAAAATTCCAGCAACGGTAGTCAGTTACCATTCTTGTTGTATTTATGCAAACAATCAGACCAAATTGAATACAGTAAATAAATTAGTATTTTAATAAACAGAGGGATAATTTTAAGGAGAAAAGCTCTATTTCAATAGAGGTTATTAAATCTGAAATGTTTTCTTTCCCTCCCATCAGATCATTTGTTAGTTTGTCTCTGCCAGGTCATGAGCGGTTAGAAGGCAGCAGTCCCAGATTTTGAGAGAGATGTCTGACTGTCGGTTTAGGCCCAATCTGGGGATTGGGTCTAAACCGACAGTCAGATATCGACAGACAGCAGGGATCTCTTGGCTCTCAGAGAAAACGCCATCCCTCCTCCGCATAAGCAGCTACAGAAGAAATTCAACATCCATTTTCCCTGAAAGAATTTAGAGCCAGAATCCTTGAGGGTGACTGTCGGTTTAGGCCCAATCTGGGGATTGGGTCTAAACCGACAGTCAGATATCGCCTGAGGGGTCCCAGATTGGAGAGGGCACAGGCTGGTCTGAAGGACGCCCCCCCAAGCACCCTCCCATGCACAAATTTTGTGTACTGGGCCACTAGTAAACCTAAAATGGAACTGGGTTTTTCTGTAATAAAAATTTCTATGAACTCTTCTGTTTCCTTTTATAATACTGGTCAGCTTAGCTCTCTCAGATCCTATCCTCTGGAATGTAGTCATTATATGCCTCTACAGATTCTCGTGACTCTTCCAGACCCTGAACTACCCATCTCACCAGCTTGCATGGAAACCCAATCTAGGAAAGCTGAAATACATAACCAATCTTTTTTCAAGTTCTTACAGGCTTTACAGTCTACCCAGAAAGCAGTCCAGAAGCACATCCAAGATACTCTGCCTGTATCCGGTTCATCCCTTCCAATACTGGCTACTAATCCAGGACTTTTTCTACTTCATTATAAGAAGTTTTTTGAAGGTATCATCTTTTTGACATTCTCAAAAGTCAGCAGTTGAGGAAGCATTAAAATTATGGAAGTATAAACTGGCAAAATGAGACTTCATTTTGTACAATTGTCTATATAATTTGCAACCTTGTTATGTTTGGGTCTAATAAGACTATGACATGACACAAAGAACTTTCTTTTTCTCTTTCAAACTTTTGAATCATTGTAGTAATTAGAGTATTAACCATGTACTAGATCATTAAGATTCATTCACTCTTTCTGATTTGAAAGGTTTTTCATGTTTTCCTTTTAATAAAGAACTCAAACTACAGATATCTGTGAATATGGTGCTATGATATTTACATGGAGATTTTTTTCTTCTATCCTCTTTTAATTCTTTTCTAGCTTTTAACATGAACCAACACCTTAATACCCTCATAAACTGGTTCATGATTAAAACCTGTTGGATCAATGACCAGGACACAGAAACATTTGTGTCATTTACTAAAGACAATTCTCACACCACTCCCTTTCCCCTTCGATTATTTTGAAACCAATTAGGGACCAGATATATGAAGACACCAGCAGCTAAACTGGGAAGTATGCATGTGAGTGTGTGGGGGGGGGGTGGGGAAGAGGGGTGAGCATGGAAGGACCAAATGAAAAATATTTGAATTACAGCAAATATCCATTGTCTATATTTAAGGTGTGCAATCTTATAAACAGGCCCACTGACTTTATTCAGCAAATAATTAATTCTATCAAGCTTATAGTCCGCAGGGGTCAATATAACTCCCTTCCCATCAATGACCCAAAAGAGTCAATGATTTAACACATGTACATAAAACCAGCGGAGAATGTGCTGGGCTGCATATCTGGCGCTTTGACCAGCCGGGTTGCAAGAATCACTACAATCAAGCTAATTAATGTATCTGTTAACTCACATGGTTACCAAAAGTTACTCCATTTTGGACTTTTTCACCTCCATTCTTTTCAACACTACTGAACATCATAGCTTAGACCAGGCAGTTTCTACTGAATGCATATTGCTTTCACATCATTATAAAATCAAAAAAACATAAACATGAAAAATCATGAATAAAATTGTGAGTCATTTTTGTTAAGCCATGACACCAAACAAAAACTTAATAAATAACTAAATTTCAGTTTCAGCCTCTACCAGAGATGGAATTGTAAAACACTTATATCTTTGTGGTTTTTGCAAATAAATACGCTGTAATCCTGTAGTCGGCACTGCAGTTCTGCCTTTGCTTCGGCAGGGTGCTGTAACTGTAGTCTCTGGCCAGCTTAATAAAGGCTCCTAAATCTTGATCTGAGTCCCTGGTGGTCTTCTCTGCGGGTTGCCCCATAACACCACCCTCTTTCTACCTATAAAAACTTTCCATTTTGTACAACTCACCAAAGCACCTTTCTAGTTGCTAGATGGCATGCTGCCCAATTCCTGAATTGCTTAACACAGCCAATTAGATCTTCAAACTTACTTGGCTGAATTTTGTTCTTTAACTCCTGCCCCCTTTGTACCTAGAAAACTGTCTCTGATGTAGGACCCCTTTGCTCCAGGTTTTTCTCAGAGTGACCACCAGTGTTCTAGATGAGGAGATAAACAGGTGCACAGAGTAAGGCTGTCCCCCCTTCCCCCTCCACCACTGCCAATCAGTTGGAACACTGCACCTCCCACATCTATTCCTTTCTTCACTGCCTCAGACTTCTTAGCTCTAAGAAAAGGGAAAGGCCACTGACTCTGCTCTTTAGATTCACACACTATTATCTATGGACCTGTGAAGGTGAGTATGAAATCTGAATAAGGAAAGTTAGAGTTAGAAGGGTTGTTAGTGAGCATGGCTGGGGGAAAGGCCCAGGAACACTGGAAGGGGCTTGCTTGACCTTCTAGGTGGTAGAGTTGAGAATGCAGTGATCTAATTTGTAAGAAGCAAAGACCTGAATTTAACTCAGCATTAATCTTACTAATTCGCACCTCTTTTCCTCCCCAATATTTTTAAGCATAATACATTGAAGCAGCTTAAATCTTGGTCGTCTCCTCCTGTTTAGGCCATTTGAGCTAGGGATAGGGTGCCACAAATAAGAACATGCCTATCCCTTATTCTGTGCCTGTCAGAGCACTGGAGACCCTCAAAAGTGCTCTCATGCAAATCCCATTAGACTCTCACAGTTCAGTAAAGGAGCTACTATTAGGTTCATTTGAGGACACCAATTCTGATATATTGAGAATCAGGTTAGATCTTCTGTAGGGCCAGGTTAACTCCTTGTGCTAACTGAGGACAGAGACCTGGTTTAAAGGGGAGACTTTTTCAAACATCTCTAGGGCCTGATTTTGACCAGAGTAGCTCCTGTGATGGCAGTGTCAATATTGGTACTTGGTTGCTTAGAATCCTATTTCAAAACTTTATGATGGTATTCTTAATGGCAAATCAAGATCATTCAGCATGATCATAATTAAGAAAATGGCCTCCGAGAAGGCAAGTGGGCAGTCAGAAGTGCTACCATGTTTCAGGCAGACATTGGGGAAGTGCTATGAGGAAGTCAAGATGAGCTAAGCACCAATTGCAGTCAGATTTGATTGCAGTCTGGGATTTCAGGTTTCCAAAGCCTTCCTGCTTGCAAAATGTTTCCCAAGTCTACTCATTTTCTACCTTCCCTTAAAGGGTGACAACCTTTTCTACTTCACATACATAAAACTTAAAGTCCCATTCTCTTTCAGACACACTCTTTTATAAGAACCCATCTGGACTATAAAACAGAGCTAGCTAGAGTGCTCCTTGTTTTGGGTGAAGAGAAGGTGTTTGGAATTCTCAAAATAAACTTCATCTAATTTTTACAATTTCGTGCTTGTCTCACTCAGGCTCTAGCATATTTTCAGTCCTTATAAATTTAATTATCTAATGAGATTTATCATCTTCTAGTCTGGAACCAAATGGTAAAATTGAGCCTAAGTATGTACATTGGCAGGGAACAGAATTTTAAGGTGGAGCTCAGCTCAGGGCAGTGTTGCAGTTATGTTTTCCTCTCTTCCATGTAGACCAACAGGTGATCCTGGTGACAGAAGTCATTCTCTCTAAAGGTCCTAGGTCCTCTCTTGTTCCTGCTGTTCCCCTTATGTGGGCTCCATGTACACAGCCAGAACATTTCCTGGAGGGAATTCATGAAACAGCAACACCTGAGCACAAGCTGGAAATTCATTGAGTACAGATGCAATGATCTCATGAGAGAAAGAGAAGCTCCAAAAGACAGGAACTATCACCTCTTCATCTATACCTTCTGGCACAAAATTGAGCACATATGCATCAGGAACTGGAGAGATCGCTACAGAAATGTATACATATGGGCCCAATATCCCTTCAAAATAATAAAATGTTACTCGGTGAATAACAAAAAGTGTTACAAAGAGCACAGGAGCCACAGCTGTTTTACTCCTATTTTTATTTATAAATCTTTAAAGGTTCAGCTCACATGGCATCTCTTTTTACTATCCCAGGAATTTTCCTGATATTGATTTCTTACACCTACCCAAGCTGAATGATCCTCCTTTCACAATAAATTATATCATTCCAATGTGTGGACATTTATATATGTTATACTAGAGGCCCAGTGCATGAAACTCATGCAAGTACCATCCCAAGGCTTGGCCTGCAATCAAGGCCATCTTTTCTGGCTACATGCAGCCAGCCCCACACCCTGCCATCACCCATCCCTGGTTCCCGGTTCGCCATCAGGTGATCGGAACCTACTGGCTGTGGGAAAAAACCAAGAGGTCAACCATTCCTGCCTGCTCACTGGCCCTACCCCCACTGTGGGTTTCCCTCTGTGTTTGGGGTGACTGGTGGGGTGGAGGCCTTGGCCTGGCACCACCTGCGTCCCCCGCCACCCACCTCCAGTTCCCTGTTCACCACTGGGCAATCAGAGCCTGCCAGCCAGAGTTTGGAATTGAGAAGTGTTCAATGCACCTATGATAGTGACTGGTCGAGTGGTCATTCTGTTTGTTCTGCCATTAGGGTCAATTTGCATACTACCCTTTGCAAAGTGGTGGCTGCTCGGCCTACCCTGATGGGGGCCCTGGATCTGGGTGGGGGTCCCCAGTGGGGGACAGGGCCTGCTAAGGCAAGGGGCCGGTGATGGTTTCCAGGCTGGCCATGCCTCCAATAAGGGTGGGGTCCCTGTTGGATGATGGGGCCAGGCAGGGAAAAGGGCCATGGTCGCTCTGGCCTCTGGTTGTCCTGGTCATTCTGCTGTTTTGGTCCATGGGCTTTTATTATATAGGATGTGCAATTATATTGGTCCATGAGCTTTTATTATGTTAGTATAAGTATTAGAGGTGTGTGTGATATGGATTATGTTTGGATGTGATTTGTGCTGTGTGTAGTTTAAGGTGAGTGTTATATGTGAGTAATATGTTTATGTGTGTGATGAGAATGTAAATGTTTAAATACTAAGTTGAGGAAAAGTTGTGTGTTAGGCATTGATTGTGTCAACATGATGAATTTCATTCAGATTGGGAGTGTAGGGGTGGGCTGGCCTGATTTAGTGTAACATGTAGGATGGTCCTACCTCATAGTATGTGCTCAGTCTACATTGGTCTTCTTCCTTTCAAATCTTTGGCTTGGTACTTTCATTTGCACTTTGATAAAACCAACATCACTAGTGCCTATCAATCATTTCTTCTCCCTGGCTTCAGAAGATAGAGGTTTCTGATATAAAAATACAGTAGATTGTCATCTGTATGAGAGCTATAAGTTCTCAGGATTATGAAGAACCTTCTCCATCATCTCTAGAAAGACAGAGGTTCATACTGGACTCATTTATTAAGAATATCTCTAAGGCCTGGCATGTGTTACTCTGTGGTTGACCTTCAACCCATGAATTAGGAGGTCATGAGAAGATTCCCACTTAGGGCACATGCCACGGTTTCAGGCTTGATCCCCAGTAGGGGGCTTTCAGTGAGCAGCCAATGAACGATTATCATCATTGATGTTTCTATTTCACTCTTCTTCTCCCTTTCTCTCTCTCTCTCTCTCTCTCTAAAATCAATAAAAATAAATTTTTAAAAATATCTCTAAGGAGGCTAATGCAATTTAGCTGGATTAAGGCAGTAGTTTCTCAAGGAATAATACACTCTGTAGAAGATATTAGCACAATTGAGTTTATCTGATAATAATCATTTTCACTTGACTGAGGAATAGGTTGGGGTTGCCGAACTTTAAAATGCAACTCTTCTCAAGAATGAGGCTCAAGGCTTACATTTTGTTGGAGGGTAGAGCCAGGATGAAATGCTAAAGACACAGTAAGTATAGTTTACTGGAATTCTGTTTGCTAAGTGAGGAAGAAAGATACAGCATAAGAGAAATATTTGTTTCATATAATTTTGCCAAAGGTAGGTATGGGGAGAAGAAATACTAAACATTAAAATAGAGTATCCTGTGTATTTTTTTTAAAGTATTACATATGTCTCCTTTTCCCTCCATTGACCTCTCCCCAGCCACTCCTACCCCCAGTACATGCCCTCACACCCCTGCTGGCTGTGTCCATTGGTTTTGCTTATATGCTTGGATACAAGTTGTTTAGTTGATGTGTCACTGCCCCCCCTTCCCACCCTCCCCTGCCTTCCCTCTGAGGTTTGATGGTCTGGTTAATGCTTCTATGTCTCTGGATCCATTTTTTTTCATCAGTTTATGTTGTTCATTATATTCCACAAATGAGTGACATCATGTGATATTTATCTTTCTCAGACTGGCTTATTTCACTTATCATAATGCTCTTCATGTCCATCCATGGTGTTGTGAATGGTAAGAGTTCTTTCATTTTTACAGGAGTATAGTATTCCATTGTGTAGATATACCACAGTTTTTTAATGCACTCATCTCCTGATGGACACTTAGGCTGTTTCCAAATCTTAACTATTGTAAATTGTGCTAATATGAGCATAGGAGTGCATACATCCTTTATGATTGGTGTTTCTGAATTCTTGGGATATATTCCTAGGAATAGGATTACTGGTCAAATGGGAGTTTTATTTTTAATTTATGTGGAAACTCTATACTGCTTTCCACTGTGGCTGCACCATTCTGCATTCCCACAAGCATTGCACTAAGGTTTCTTTTTCTCCATATCCTCACCAGGACTTCTCATTTGTGGATTTGTTGATGATAGCCATTCTGACAGGTGTGAGATGGTGCCTCATTGTTGTTTGATTTGCATCTCCCAGATGATTAGTGACTTTGAACATGTCTTCATATGTCTCTTGACCTTCCGTATGTCCACTTTTGAAAAGTGTCTATTTAGGTCCTTTACCCAAGTTTGATTGAATTGTTTATCTACCTTTTGTTAAGATGTATGAGTTCCTATAAATTTTGGAGATTAAACCCTTATCCGAGATAACATTGGCAAATATGTTCTCCCATGCAGTGGGCTTTCTTGTTATTTTGTTGATGGTTTCTATTGCTGTGCAGAAGCTTTTTGTTTTGATGTAGTCCCATTTGTTTATTTTCTCCTTCATTTCCATTGTCATAGGATAATTGAGCATAATGGCTTGTGTCGATTTCTGGGCTCTTTATTCTGTTCCATTGCTTATATGTCTGTTATTGTGCCAGTAACAGGCAGTTTTGAGAACAGTTGCTTTGTAATGTAGCTTTATATCTGGTATTGTGATTCCTCCAACTTAGTTCTCCCTTTTCAGGATTGCTGCAGCTATTCTGGGTCTTTTTTTATTCCAAATTTATTTTTGGAGAGTTTGTTATAAGTCTGTGAAATATGCTATTGTTATTTTAATGGGGATTGCATTGAATCTATAGATTGCTTTGGCTAGTATGGACATTTTAATGATGTTGATTCTACCAATCCATGAACATGGTATATTCTTCCATCTTTTTTTTTTTTTTCAGCATCTTGTAAGTTTCTAAGTACAGGTCCTTTACCTCTTTGGTTAAATGTAAATGCTCAGGAGCTGGATTTTTAAAGACTTTCTTTCTTTCTTTTTTAAATATATACTTTATTGATTTTTTTACAGAGAGGAAGGGAGAGGGATAGAGAGTTAGAAATATCGATGGGAGAGAAATATCGATCAGCTGCCTCCTGCACACCTCCCACTGGGGATGTGCCCGCAACCAAGGTACATGCCCTTGACTGGAATTGAACCTGGGACCCTTCAGTCCACAGGGTCTATCCATTGAGCCAAACTGGTTAGGGCGGTAGCTTAATTTTCTTGATGCAATGGTATTGCTTTTTCAGTTTCTCTTTCTGTGAGTTCATTATTGATGTATAAAAAAGCCATAAATTTCTGGGTATGAATTTGTATCCTGCTACATTTGTAAAGTCTAGTAGTTTTTAATGGAGTCTTCAGGTTTTTCTATGTACAATATCATGTCATCTGCAAATAATGACAGTTTTACTTTGTATTTTCCAATTTGGATGCCTTTTAGTTCTTCTTTTTGTCTGATCACTATGGCTACCAGTTCCAGTACTATGTCAAACAGGAGTGGTGAAAGTGGGCATCCCTGTCTTGTTCCTGTTCTTAGGGGAACTGGTTTTAGTTTTTGCTCATTGAGTATGATGTTGGCTGTAGGTTTGTCATTTAAGGCTTTTATTATGTTGAGGTAAGATCCCTCTGTTCCCACTTGATAAAGGCTGAGAGTTTTTATCAAGAAAGGGTGTTGGATTTTGTCAAATGCTTTTTTCTGCATCAATTGATATGCCTATGTGATTTTTATCTCTCCTTTTTTTACGTGATGTATCATGTTTTATGATTTG